TTCTATTTAAAATTAATTCTGAAGAGAATTTTTCGTGGTGTCTGTACGAACGTATGTATGTACGTACGTATGTATCTCGCATAACTCAAAAACGAATAGCCTCAGAACATTGAAATTTTGTATATAGGACTGCTATAACATGTATATGTGCACATCGTATTTTGGTTGCAATCCGCCGCAAGAAACGTATATAAATATATTTATATATATATCCACTCTGTTACCCGGCTCGGTGATCTCAGTTTTTTTACTCTTATATGTTTGTAAATTGTAATTTTTTTGCTTTAAAAATGATTGAATTATGTTGTTCTTATCTTCCGGTTAAGGTTTTTATGCCGTTCTTAAATCTGTATGCAATAATTTTAGAATTATCAATAATTTTAAAGTTGTTAAGTGCCGCTAAGCCTTTTTTTTATGGCGGCCATTGATTGTTTGCATTTGAAACAGCAGACTAGTGGATTTGTTGCCAATCTAGAGAAACTTAGCTTCGCAACAACAAAGATAACGCCTTCATTTATTATCGCCAATTAAATCACGTTTAATCCTTTCTGGAATTTTTTCGAGGAAATTAGTGTTTAAGTTTACTTCGTAATTTTTAATATAGATATTTTGAGTTTTTATGTATTTTTGCCTTCTCGTGAACTGAGAACTGAATTAATTGAATGAGAAATATTCAATCGTCTGTGAAAAACTGTTTCTTTGCTTTGTTTGCTTAATTTCTTTTATACATCATTCTAGCTTCATTATAGTATTTGAATAGAACATGTGGCAACGATTAGATAATTCTATTCTTTAAATGATATAAATTTTGTGCATTATGAGTTATAATATGAACGAAATATAATACTGTTAAGTGAATCTAGTGCCATTTTTTGCCTTCATTTTTTGCTTAATCTAGCGCCATTTTTTTATTTTGTGTCGCTATCGTAAATAAATACTAGAGTGAATTTTAAAGAATGCATTTATTCTATTGTGGTTTATGCGCTATGTCGGCGAAGTAGATTTAATTCAATCCAATAAGTTTAAATGAAATGCAAGAAAAGATGCGTATAATTTAATATTCCGTACAAGGAAGTCATGTGGTGTACACATCAGATTTTTTATTTTATTCTCAGAAAGAATTTAATTTGCTTTTCATGCAATTCCACCTTTCGGAAGTGAGTGAACATATTGGGAAGCATTTATTGCTAGAGCTAGGTCATATGTTTAGTGGCTTACAATTTAACGATGTCGGTGTAAAGCCGGGACTATATTATTTATATATATAAATGAAAGTAAAAGTAATAATAGCTGAAATATTCAACAACCTGTTTGTTTTCTCTTTCGTTTAATAAAGGTAATCAGCTTGATTATCAAAACTAAATCATCTTTTACGTATTTTTCATTAACAAGATGGAATCAACATCCAGTAACAGGAAAATGGAAAAAAATAAATTTGGCTGGTGCCATTTTTAACTGAATTCCACTACACTTAATCGGTTCTAGTTTTTCTTGTTCTTCCGCTTTTCCTTGCTGTTATTCCATCAAAATCGTTGGTGTATTTATCCGATTAATTACAGCTCTATTCACGTCAATGCATACACATATTTTTTCTTCCCTTTATTTGTTTAATAATATTTTCGCTATTTAAAGTTTAAAAACTTTACAAATTAAAGCCGATATTATGACCTACAGATTCCTACCATATTTGTAGTTTTAGCAGTTTTTACCATTTTTTTGCCACTTATCACAAGAGGCAAGTTCAGGGAATGATTTTGCCTCCTATCATTATAAAAAAAAAAGAATACTCAATTTTCTTCAACGTCAATGAAGTAGAAGAAAAATTTGATACTACAGAGCTGGTTGATAACCTTGCTAACCAGAAAAGAGAACAAATCGCAGAATCATTTTTAGAGTGCATTTGCAATATAATAAGAGACAGCCCTGATAAAATTTGCAAGTGGTTTACAGTAAATTGCATGCAAAATTCAGTACACAGAAGTGCCACATCTATCAGCAACAATGGTTGTAATCCGGCTGAGCATCAAAACGAACTGAGCTTGGATAAGATTGTGGCTTGAGTCATTTTCTCGTTATGAAGAGCGATAAGATACCGCGAACATTAATCCGAATGTCCAGTGCGGGAACTTTTCCCGAAAGAGAAATGTTGACGATTAAATAAACTAACAAAATATGAAAACACTACGAGATTTTCTAATAAAATTATAGCACCATTTATACACCATGCATTTATAACTGCGAAACAGATTCAAATTAAAACGTAAATAACAACATGCGCTCGTATGCACAGTTCCAAAGACTCAGTGTCACAAGAAGAAGAATAGAAGCTCATTGGTCCATGTTTGAAATCCCTTCCTCAGTAACGATATTGATGTGCACTGTGAATTATGCGCGGCCTGCGGGCAACCTGCGATCGAGCATTCTATTCTTGAAACGTGGCGTCAAGCAGGTCTCAAAAATACAACACAGGCACAAGCCTTAACACATCAGGAAGGGAATGGCAGCTGTCCTCATAACCGGCTACCTCGATGACTGGGATCTATGTCCACTATTACCCTTATACCACCACATTAGTACTGGGCCAATAAAATCTCTATACACTGAGTTGGATTCTAGGCGAACTGACAGGCTGCATGGTCGCTTTAATGGATTTGCCCCCGTGTAACGTGGCAACAAGCCAGTTTCTCTATAAAGTCCTTCACGAAGGCATCCCTTCCCTTAAGCAGATAGCCTTAGTGTATTTTGTCGCAAACATTTAACCCAAAATAAACCATTTGGTCCAAATATGTGCTTTACGATGATGAATTAATCCAGTCTAATCCAATACGGAAATCCAGCAAGTTTTACAACAATTCATAAACTGCAGTGTCTTGTGTAAATTCTACTGGAAAACAGTATAAAAACTATTTAAATATACAATGCGAAATTCGTACTTTTGGACGAAAATAACGAAATCAAGATGGCACTTTTCATTCCCCTCGATGCCTTTAAAGACGTATATGTTCTTCAGGAGGCTGGATGCAGAATTTGGATTATATAAGAAGATGACATAATGCTAGTCCTATGATCAGTGTTGTCGTTCGTCGCACCAATGTAGGCACGCTTGACTGTACTTCAAGAGAAACTGTAACAAAGGTCGGCATGTTTACTGCCCGTTTTGTTGCAAATCTTCGCTTTTTCCTTGCGGACTCTTTTCCTACTGCACATGAACCAAGTTCTTTATCCAGGGTATTTTTGATGTGGCTGTACGATCCTACAGCACCGAGAAAACAACATGCATGTCCTCTCGAGGGTTAGTGGTACAAGGTCGCTGAGATCCTGCATAACTTTCAATTTAGTCACCCTGGATCTAGCGATGCCATATTAGCCTGACAGTCACTGGATCGCAACCAACACGAACAGCAATATTGTGTTGTGTAGCATTTTGGTATTGTTTTTACTTGATTTAATTTGGTATTTAATAATAAGACTTATATAATCTACACAACTTTAGTTTTAAATTGGTTCATAATACGTAAGAATAATAATTTATACACGTTCATATAATAATATATTTAAAGCCTCGTATGTTATTATTTTGAGTTTGATTTATTGGTTTGTTTCAAGATTTTTTTTAATAATTAAGAAGCTTTGCTTGCGTGGCAATTATTTAATTTGTAATGGTTTTTGCTTAATTTTTCTTGCAATTTTGGTCTAAAAGAATATGAAAGCTTATTCTGGTTTAACTGTTTTTATTTAAACTTTAATATTATTTTCAATTGAATTATGCTTTTGAACATAAGTATTTAATCGCTTTGTTAACTGAGTTTTATTTTAATTTGAATCTCCTAATCACTAAAAATTTACAAATCGTTTTTCTTTTTTCGGATTCAGTTGGTATTTTTCGACCTATGGTATTTTTCTATCATTTTGTAAAAACATTTCATGCAATTCGAAAATTTTAGACAGTTATTCTATGAAATAATTTTGGTATTTTTTTTTTTTATTTTTAAATTTTGTTTGTTTTTTAGTAACAAACCTACTACAGATTTTTCAGTGCTTTCCCTTCTTTTGTCCGGAAATGCTTTGTCTGCATTTGGTTACCCGGATGAGGATTTCAAAAAGGGGAGTTTGTTCGTTCAGGGTGTTCAGGTGTTTAATGTGCAGCGATTGGAACCTCGATGCAAGGCTAGTCCTCTCCATGCGTTTACGTTACAGACCCCTCAAACGGAGGGCGATATTTAAATTGTCCAGCTGTTCAGTGTGTTCCTCTGGCAATGGCTATTGCTTAATATCGCAACGCAAAATTGGAAACAAAGGCTTGATTTTTTCATTTCAGTTGATGTTATTATTGCACCATGATATAAGATTTGTATAATTTGTAATGTTTTTTTTTTCTGTGTAACAGTTTATTCTGTTTTTTTAGGGGGGGGGACGCAAGATTTGCAGAACTGCGGATTTCCATGAGGACAAAACGGAAATAAGACAGTTTCCCTTAGAACATCAGCCCACGGATGCATTCATTTCATTAAACGAAATAGCTATACACTGAGTTCGATTCCAGACGAGCTGACAGGCTGCATGGTCGCTTTCATGGATTTGCCCCCGTGTAACGTGGCAACGAGCCAGTTTCTCTATAAAGCCCTTCACGAAGGCATCCTTTCCCTTAGGCAGATAGCGATAGTGTATTTTATCGTAATAATATAACCCAAACTAAACCGTTAGGTCCGAAAATGTTATTTTACGATAAAGAATTAATCCAGTCTAATCCAAACCGGAAGTCCAGCACATCTTACCACAATTCATAAACTGCAGTGTCTTCTTGTGTAAATTCTACTGGAAAATAGTTTAAAAATTATTTAAATATTCAATGCGAAATTCGTAGTTTTGGACGAAAATAAATTCGCAAAACGTTAAACACCTATAACTTCGATAAAAATAACCATGCAACATTTTAGGTACTTCAGTATTATTCACGCATATAAAAATATTCAAATAACATTTAGAATTATTTATATTACCTGCAAATGAATATTTGATCCATTGTTACCTATCACAATATTGTTTTCATAATTTGCAATGATCACTGAAATCAAAAGAATATTTTATTAGGATTATTGAAGGAAATCCTTTGAAAGTATTTCAAGCAAATTCACTTTTAAACATAAAATTAGTTCCTTACATTTCTGCATTACAGTAGTATTTTACCTTTACTTATGCGTGATGAGATTAAAGACTTGAAAGCATGTGTATGATCAGATAAAAGATAAAAGACTTGTATACGTTTTAGATATTTTAGACTTAATGCACTCACATTCATCAGCATAATAAACAAGAATAAAGATAAGATATATCTAATTTACAGAAAAAATAAATTAGGGAAGTAATTTCGCCTAGTTTAAAAAATACAGGAAATCTTAAAAAATTTGAGATATTAATTCCTTTCAAGCTAAGGTATAATCATCTTTTAAATAAATGCGATGCAATTCTTAAATGTATTCAACTGGAACTATATTTTAACACGTACGTTATAAATATTCATCTGAATTTTGCCATACATTTAATATCTTTCTTCTCGGGGAAGCAAATATTTTTGAGTTGCATCCATTTATTATAAGTTTCAGATAGCTTTCTTTCACAGTCAGGCAATACATTTTGCATTAAAGACAATGCATTTTTGCTTCTTTCTTGGAAAGTAATCTATCTCTAAAAAACTTTCACATGATTTAATGTTGGGTGATAAAGCATTGATATGTGTATGTAATAAAATATATATTTTCATATTTATTAAAACATTTCTTAAACTTCCCCTGGTGATATTCAAATATATAATACATAAATTTCTCAAATAACTTGACCTTGAGTTGGAATACCTGCATTTTCGAAAATACTTATGTTCAGCTTTATTTTATATTATAATATTCTTCGACTTCATAATTCTTTCGAAATATTTACGGTGTAAGTGAATATTTTTGGCATCCTATAACTAAACGTCTAATACGATATTAAAAATTTCAGCAATGAATGAAAAAGAAAAGATAGAGCATAATGAAAATCTACAAATGAAAAAAAAGTTCAAAGACGTACAGGCAAGTATATTATAATAAAAAAAGTTTGATTTGCAAAAATGTTAATTGAAAAAATGCTTTTTCTGCGGCTAATTTAATGCATGATCAGATTTTCTATGAAAAGTGTTAGGAAACATTTTCCTTTCGATTGTAAAATGAGCCGAGTGGCTAGCACGGGTCCAAGGAAAAGGAGAAGCTTGTATCTCGAAAACGTTTCCGTCAAGCAATAATATTGATCAGATTTACTCTTAATATGTCTGACGCCATTTCTCCTACTACTACCAAATTAACTAATCTACTGTCCAGATTGGCTTTTAACTAAACTGAAGTAAAATAAGAATACTAATTTTATTGCGAAATCCTACGATTTAAAGCGACTACTTCATTCAATAAATGAAAAATAGACACTACATATTCTAAGGATTATAACGTTTTCTCTTCAGTTAAATCTTTTAGTTTATTACTTAAATAACTATTCTTCCTTTTCAGGCATTCATTCTGTCGAGAAATATGCAAATTACTATTTAGTAATGAGACGGAGAGAAGGGTCGTAATGTGTGTTGATTTTGGTTCTAGTGCACTAATGTCTGCTTACTGATACAGAATTCTCACCGAGGCACCCATATAAAGCTAAATTAGTATGTACCTATAATTTCTTAACAACTTCTAAACAATAAGTGAAATCAAGCTTCATTAAATTTCAATTAGAGTCTTAAAGTAAGGCTCAACCCATCACATTAACTCATTTTGCTGGACGAAAGGGGAGGGCAGACTCATCAAGGTTAACGATATCGCTCACTGTGTACGTACACATGGAATCTCTGCCTGCGAGGAGTACAATGAATGAATAACTGGTTTCCTATTATCTTGCTTTGATATGTTAGGGCGTCGCAACTACTAGAGCTGCAAAGTAATAACCATGTCATTTAGTTCTATTTACTTCCCTTTTCTGAGGTTCATTGGTGAGTCTTCTTAATATCTTATACCGTTAAGTCACCTATATGTGTTTATACTGAATAAAGCACACATTAATTACTTACTGCTTCATAATACTGGATTACTAAGAGATTATTGAACATTTAATTCTTCTTTGTAAATGTCTGAATTTCCGTGAGTAGTTAATATTCAGTTTAGATCACAGTACTTAGAATTTTTTACTTTTATGGTAGCTAATAGAATAGCTAACAGTAAGAAAGTGGTTTATGCTTATGATTCAAAAAGCGGCAGTTGAAAAGGACCTAAATTATCAATAAAGAGGAAAGGGATTTAACTGAAATTTGCACTTTGGCATGTAACTTCTCAATTGATGTGTTCAGGGAACCGTTCTAGGCTTATAAACTCAGTGGCAATGCTGTGAGTTGCTGTGTATTATTGTAAACTTACTTCAGTTCAAGAAAGATGTTCTGGGTTTCTGTTTTATTTAATTTCCAGATCATTATTTCAAAGTTGTTACGAAGGAGATGAACAATAGTAGAAATGTGTAACAGATGGACGAAAAAGTGAATCCGGGGGAGCAGGTCTGGAACTCGGACGGCGTAAGTAGACTAATTAGATGATGTACGGATAACGCAATTGTCCAGCCCTCCCTGGTGCTGTAAAGTTTAAGCACAATACAAAGCACACTACGAAATTGCTCAAATTACTCCATAACAAAAAGTACTGTCGCAATACCTTAAATATAAAATAGAGATTGCTATAATCAATGGATACAATATGCTAAATTCAATACGCATACTATGTCATTAATTGCATTTTACATTTCCCGTTACTCATTACATTAAGGGCAATAGGTTTCTGAATATTGTATTTTGTTTGATAGACAAGGACACGGAAAAATGAATGGAGCACTAGAACTTCACCTATGTCCGACGGAAGAAACCTGTATAGGGGATCTTCACCTATACAGGTTTGCTCCGTCGCACTACTGTTCTAGAACAACACGTCACGCGGCATATTACACCCTGCCTCGGGAATCAACTCACCAAGGAATCCACTACAGATTAGAGGAGAGCTAAAAGACCTTTTTTTTAATTCATATAGCCTGAGTCATTATATGGTTCCAAATGAGCTAGAAAAAATTGTGTTCAAATTTCAGCCAAAAATATTGACGTCCTGAGGTTCCACACCTCAAGTGAATATCTATAATGACTTTTTTAATGAATTGCTTTATTAAAATCAGTGCAAGAAATTGTTGCTTATCAGTGCAAGAAATTGTTGCCCACACCAAAATATGAAATTCAATGCCAAAATATGCTACTAGATGCAGAACGGTTTCTAATTTGACTGTTCGTTCTAGCTTGGGTTAAGCAATCATGTGGTTTCCGTGATGTTTCAACAACTATTCATTGTTAATTAGATGCCTGTTCTTTCTGTTTTATCAATCCTGCTTTATCAATCAGTGTTTATTTTGGACTAAGATGGCGTCAACTAGAAGTGGATCTATTTGAGTTCTTCGTTGATAATAAACTACATTGGTTTGTGAGCTTGTTGCACACCAATGAATTACTCCTTTATCTTTTTTTCCAGAAGATTAATGAAAATGCATCTGGACCACATTAGTTTTCTGTAACAGTAGGAAAAATTCGTGAAAACACGTGAAACCCTTCCTGTTATAGGTTATATCCCTCTTCCAGTTGATCTATGAAATCGACAAAAAGATCTCAGTACTGACCATACATCCTTGAAACTGTTAAGCTAATATTCCAAGGGCGTGTTCTTCAGATCTAGCAAACACGAGTCCTGGGAAATTGGTCCACTCAAGATGGCTCACTGCATCCAACAGAATTCTTCGCCTTAATGTATCAACCGCCAACTAACAAACGACTTGAAGCTTCTCGGCAAATATGTTATAAAGGTTTATGTGGCATCCTGTTTCGAAATGAAAAATATCACGAGAACAATACATGGAGCACGTCTTATTCACGGAATGAGCAAGAAAATTTCATTCTTGCTAAAAAATTGTAAGGCAATCGTTCACAAAATTATTCGGGGGAACTGTTATTTTACCAAGAAGAAATTACAGAAGAGAGAAAAAGTGAATACAAAGTTTACTTTGTTTTGAGAAAATTAACAAACAAAAGTTTTGAAATTCAATTATTTTTTCCAGAATTTATTTATTGTTAAGAAAGAGTTTTTTGGTAGGAAAATTCTAAAAGATATTCTAAAATATGCAGTTGGAAAAAATAGAAATAAAAACCTTTTATAAAAATGTAAAATTTATTTCTGTAAAAGTAAAAACTATATCGAGTATTTATGAAAAGAAAAAACTGACGTTAATTAATCTCAGATATCAAAATGCGAAAACTTTCGACTCTTTGTGTTCGAGAATCTATATAGCTGTGCTTGAAAAAAGAGAGATCAACAATGAAGTCATCACAAAGCGAATATATTGTGCTCTATGCAACCGTTCCTTTTTCTTCACCGAGAGATCCTGCATTCATCACAGTTTAAGATTCTTAATCACAAAACTGATTCGAATATTATTATCATTATTAATAAAATGTTCGCTGTAAAACATAGCTGCAGTGATCTATTTTCCCCACAATATCACAATCAGAATCAGGAGGAAGTGGCAGTCAATGTGCTGCTGAATGTGGTGGAAATATTTAATTTTTACGAATTTTATATATATGTAATTAATTGTAGTGAAATTTTATGTATCTGTAGTGACGCGCTTTCTGAAAAATAAGGTTGCAGGGGCTAGTCTATCTAACACTAAGGTAAATGGCTATCGCGTTAACCCCACCAGCGCCAAGCTGTAAAATCACTGAATACTGGTTGTTTCGACCTGGGTTCAATTTATGGCGAACGGTCTGGCTACGTGGGCATTTTCGTAATTTTCCCCATGCGTAGTGTAAATCCTCCACGAAGGCTATCCCTCCCCTTAGGCAGAGAGTCCCAGTGTGCTTTCTCATAATCAACTAAGCCAAGCCAAACTACCTCTTTAAATTGGCAAGATATTACCAAGCTGGCAATGGTTTTTCACGAGTAAATTTTGACACCACATTTGGCGATAAAT